AGAGCTTGAAGGGGGGATCAGGAGTGAATTTGATTGAGGTGGTGAAGGGTATTAACTGGGCAGTGGCATTTATCAGGGAGTTAATGGACATCAAGGGAAACGTTTTTGGAGTCGTTGGTTGTTGAGGACGGGGGTATTTGGAGTTGTAGTACAGAAGTGAGATTTGACAAACCTTAGGGGCACACTTGGAAATATTAAAAGGATATCTAAAGCCAAGAACATACATTTCATATATTGCAGTTCGCTAGTCCATAGATGTGGTGGCTGCATCTGTTTTATTTTTTGGCCAAGTACATTTTCTGCAAGTACAGTAAAATACCTATTGATCTTGCCAACATTGCAGCATCCCTATAACTTCCTGTGCACTGAACTGAAATCTTTTCCAGCTATCTTCAGTGAACTACAAAACACTTTCCCATTATAAATTGGAGATGGAGGAGAGAGGGGCAGGTGATTAAAGTCCAAACTAGGAGAGCAGCCAGGGGTGTCAATGCTGCTCCACCATAGATACAGTACATGAATGAGTGTTGACACCCTACAACACAAAGAGGGGAATTTATCGAAACTGGAGCAGACAAAATCTGGTGCAGCTGTGCATGGCAACCAACCTTCAGTTTGTTCTGTTAAGATTTGAAAATGAAAGAGAGAAGCTGATTGGTTGCCATGCACAGCTGCTCCAGATTTTGTCTGCTCCAGTTTTGATGAATTCCCTTCAAAGTGTGTTGCTGGCAGGACCGCCAGGTGAAAATAAAGGGTAAAAGGCCTGAACAAGGAAATGAATGCAGCCACCACATCTAAGGACTGGTAAGCTGCAATGTGTTAACTTTTTGGTTTTGGGTGTACATATGCTTTAACTCCAAAAACAGAAAGATTCCAAGTAAACATTTTTTTTCTCTGCAGGTAAATACAAGACCTGAACAACCTTTAGGATTTGATGTGGAAATATTTTACAGTTCTCAGATTTTCATTAACTCGTGATGAATCAAGGAGCCCGGAGCTTTGAGTGCCCGGGAAATTTTACTGGCATTTCAAATGTCAGCGATCATCAGAGGACTCACACTGGAGAAAATTCCTTCAAAAATTTAGAATGTGACAAATACTTCTCACAAAACCACCCCAGTACTCAACACCAAAACATTCACACACAAGATATTTTCTTGCTCTCTTTGTGAAAAAGCTTATTCACGGAAGTCGTCACTTATTATTCACCAGAGGACACACACTGGTGAGAAGCCCTATAGATGTTCGGTTTGTGACAAGTGCTTCTCAAACAGGTCACATCTGACTGAACATCGATATATTCACACGGGAGAGAAGACATTTTCTTGATCTGAATGTCAACAAGTTTTTTCATGGAGGAATTCCTTAATCTATCATCAGAGAATTCACAAAGGCGAGAAGCCATTTAGAAGTTCCGAATGTGGCAAGTGCTTCTCCTCCAAGTCCACTCTTGCTTCACACCTAAAGATTCACACAATTCACAAAGAAACGTTATGTTCTTGCACTGAATGTGAACAAGTTTTTCTATGGGAGGCTTCGCTTACTTGTCACCTGAAGACTCACACCGGAGAGAAGCCATTCAGATGTTCAGAATGTGGCAAGTGCTTCTCACTTAGTACTCATTTAACCAAACACAAGAGGATTCACACAGGAGAGAAGCCGTATTCTTGCTCTGAATGTGGACAGGTTTTTACTCATAGGGAATCTCTGATTGTTCACATCAGAACCCACACAGGAGAAAAGCCCTATAGGTGTCCAGAATGTGACAAATGCTTCCCTTACAAGTCCAGTCTTTCTGCACACCTGAAGACTCACACAGGGGAGAGACCACTAACATGAGTGGGCTTTTCCTTCGGGAAATTCCATTCAATTCCAAAATTGAATGGAACAAAATTTCGAATGACATACATCAAGTTTCTAATGGCATTATCAAATGATTGGTAGATTTTCATACGAACATTCATTTGAAAAATATCATCAAGTGTATGGCCGGCTTCATTCTGAATGTGAATCCGGTGCACCAGCGCGCAAAAACGACAATTGCGCTACACGTTACATATCGCTGCGAACGTCGAAGTGAGAGCAATCATTTTAGGGCCATCAATCACTGATAACACTAAACTGATGAGCGGTAACAGCTTTTAAAGCGTCGCATATGGCCAATTTTGGGTAATGAGCAAATTTAAGGCTTGACATGTTCGGTGTCTTTTTACCTGACGTGACCGCGTCTTTTATATTTTACCAAAAAATTGGGTAATAATAAATGTTTTAGAATTTAATATTAGGGGAAACAGTTTTTTTTAAAATTTTCTGTAATTTTTCCTTAATATATAAAAAAATAAAAACCCCAGTGGTGATTAAATACCACCAAAAGAAAGCGGTCCCCAAAAAAGGGTATAAAATTCATTTCAGTACAGCGTTGCATGACGGAATAAATGTCAGTCAAAGTACCGCAGCGCTGAATACTGAAAAATGGCCTGGCCAGGAAGGGGGTGTAACACCCCAGACATCAAGTGGTTAAAGATGCATGACTCCCAAGAGGCAGATGCATGATAGGATCTGTATCTCCCAAAACATATAATATATTGCAGCTTACCAGTCCTCAGATGTGGTGACTGCATTAGTTTTTCCTTTTCTTGCTTATTTTTTATTTTATTTTCACCTGGTGATCCTTGCAGTGTTACACATCCTGTCCTAGGGTGACAATGCTCCCTCACTATACTGTGGAGGAGCAGCATTGCAATCCTAGACTGCTCTCCTGATTTTGACTACAAGGACGTCCCCCTCTCCTCATCTTCATTCCATAGTTTATCGGTCGACTCGAACATCGAGCCCAAGACTAGTGTATACCTCATGGGTACCCCCTTTTTGTTACGCTCCCCTCAGGTAGGTTAAGAATGTTTCACACTCTGATTCATAAATTAAGAAACAGTTCCTCTTCATGTGCTGTAGCAAGGCTGGTAAATCCATGACTTTTATATTTATTTGCTAAAGGCTGATATGAGGCGGTGCAATACATTTCTGTATATTGTAGTGCAAAACATTTTTTTGCTCTGTGATATATTAGAGTTGATTTGGTTGTATGTGTTTATTATTTTATAATGTATATTGCGACTTGGAGTGGATGCTGAACTAATTATTGATGTGCCTTACATACAACAATAAGGTATCTTATCTGCAATCATTGCTATTGCCAGTGATTAACAGCAGTTTGTAGCTCGTGATTTAATTGATATAGTCGCTGGCGATTTATCGGCCAAGGGCTTTCCAACTGGCTCTTTCAAGGAATGCCGGATGGACGGATACTGACAGCAGCACCCACTGTATGAATTTCAGCCGGTTCATCAGGGACCGGAAAAAATTCATACCGTGTGTACCCGGATTCAATCTTATGACCTTAGTTCTAGGCCATGCAGTGCATTATGAAATAATAAAAATTTCCTGGGTGAATATGCACATAAATGGCATAGGCAGGACCCAAATCTTGAACACAGAGGAATATAGAAAATCAGATTAGTGATGAGATTCTGATTGACATAATGCAACGGAATGGAGCAATTCAAAAACTAACCCAATTCACAGCTATTTATTTTTGGTATCCTTCCGTTGAAAAACTGATCACGACACAATGGATCCTGTGTGTATGGGCCCCAAGACTGCAGCCTTGTTACCATGTAGCATGGCCACTCTTCCATCTTGTCTTCTATCAAGACTCTGTCAGAATTAGTTCTGTTGGTCATGTTTTCAAAATAAAAAAATGACTGTAATTTACACCTATAAGATATAAACCACCTTGCCAATTCCATACCTATCAGACTTCTGCTTGAAAAACAACAAGTTCACATACAATCTTAGTTATGAGAAGCCAAAAATCTGGTGTATCCACACCATGCTGCTATGTCGTATTATAGACAGCCATATAGAACTTCATAAAATGTTACGCTATCTATGAAAGAAAAACAAGTATTAAATATAAAAGTAAGTTTTATCCCAATTTGGCTGCAAAAATGGAAATGCACGTTGAATATTTTTATGACTGAACTGATGAAAACCAAAGCTTCAATGATTTCTACATTTACACATTTTATTTTGCACACATTTGAATACATCTACAAAATGTATAATTTTTTTCATATTTGCAATTTAGGCATCCTGTAAAAAACTTTGAGCAATTCACATTATTTTCATGACTACAATACTCTCAATTATATATGTGTAAAATAAAAAACAGTATATTAACCATTTCAGCTCCTGTACCTGTTTACTCCTTGACGAGAATGAAATGCTTTTAATACAATATGAAGTAAATGAGATCTTTGAGAATATGAGCCCTAGAATATGTCCTGTTTGGCCTTTCCAGGGATCGTTGGTTGTCTATTATAGTCTCCTTTGGATAGTCTCTCTTTCAGGCAGGTTTTAAAGTGTATTTCCACTTTGAAGTCAAACTTGAGAAACCCCCTACTATATGTTTGCTGTGTGTTCCTTTTTACATAGCAGATCTGAGAATATTCTTAACTTTTAGATGTGTTTGAGTTGCAGGTCCTTGCAAGCTCCTCTGCAAGTTTTAGTAACAAGAAACTCTGTCCTAAAAGGAGGATGCTGAACATTAACATTCAATGTCTTCAGGATTGTAACCCTTTGTTAGGACAGACAGTCCTGATCATCTAGTTTACAAGTGATAATGAAATTTGCCAGCACAGTAGACGGGGTTCATTATTTAAAACAAAACACACCACAGACATTGAGAACTAAGCATATTTTTTATGTCTTGGAGTTAGCACAAAGAACATCTAAAAAAAAGGTGAGATGTTATTTTTTATTTCTTTTATTTCTTTTAAAGATATGCTATGTGATTGGGAACATGTAACAAATATAAAAGTAGGTGTTATCACAATTTGGCTGCAAAAGTGGAAATACACTTTAAACACTCAGTACATTGCTGATTTTGATATGGTCAAGATATTCTCTTCTGTGTGAAGCTTTAAAAGCTGGATCCGAGTTTATTCACATTTCAAATATTTATCACATTGGTGAATATGGATTCTCCCCAGCGTGTGTAACTTCATGTTGCTTAAGATTCGGCTCCTTTGAGAAACACTTGCGCAGTCCCCACATGGCTTTTCTCTTGCGTGAATTCTCTGGTGTCGAAAAAGATGTCCCTTTCGAGCAAAACATTTGTCACATTCCGAACAGGTAAATGGTTTCGATCCTGTGTGAATCTTCTGGTGTTGAGTAAGGTAAGCGCTCTGTAAAAAGCATTTGCCACATTCTGAACATTTAAATGGCTTCTCTCCTACATGAGTCTTCTGGTGTGTAACAAGACTGAGCTTATGTGAGAAGCACTTGCCACATTCTGAACATTTAAAGGGTTTCTCTCCTGTGTGGACCCTCTGGTGACTCGTAAGATTAGATATTTGTGAGAAGCACTTGTCACATTCTGAACATTTAAATGGCTTTTCTCCAGTGTGAGTCTTCTGGTGCGCATCAAGACTACGCATATACAAGAAGCTCCGGTCACATTCTGAACATTGAAATGGTTTCTCTCCAGTGTGGATTTTCTGGTGTTGAGTAAGATGATGACTTTGTGTGAAGCACTTGTCACATTCTGAACATTTGAATGGTTTCTCTCCTGTGTGAATCCTTAGGTGAATAATAAGTAGTGACTTATGAGTAAAACTTCTCTGGCACTCGGGGCACTGATACGGCTTCTTTCCAACTTTACTCATCTTGTTTAATGAAAATCTGTTTAGCTGTGAATGTTTTCCACAGTAGATGTTAAATGTCCCACTGAGCAGTGCATTCATTTACCTGTATGAAAAATAAACATGACATGTTTACACAGAATCTTAATATCAACAACAGACTGAAGTCAGATATTGTGTTATGAGATTTTTGCAACTTAACCACTTCCTCAGTACCCAGAGCAGATTTATGTAATGAAAACCAGTCTGCAATTCCTTTAAGCTCAGCCTCACCTTAAATACTATTCACCACAAATCACCAACATGAAGTGATATTAGATTTGCCAATAGGTTTAATTTACCTAACAAAAGGCATGTTTCCATTATTGTGCACTGTGACTATCCTTTGTTTTCACTCACCATCACATTGATTTAATTATCAATGGAAATGGTTAACAGATACTTTATGGTCATTTCCAAAGACAACTCATTGTTTTTTTTTTTTCTGAATACAGTTATATAAAATATATATGGCTTCTTAAAAATAGCCACATGCACGCAATTTTGTTGCCCAGTGTGATGCTTGGGTGATGGTTAAGCTTAGTATGGTAACCTAGACAGTAATCCTTTCCTGAAAACAAAAAACAGTTGCCTGGACATTTTGCTGACCCTCTGGCTTCAATATTTTTAGGAGTAGGATGGTCAGGAAAGTCCTAATCTGTATATTTTCTCTAGGTTACTGACTCAAAGTATCAAAGCCAGCACTCAGCAATGGCAAGCTCCATGTCTATCACCAACCAACAGTTATGACCATCAAAAATACATATCACACAACTTGGAAAATCTCTGAGGCCGGTAAACACTTATCACTAAATATCTCTCATTGATTTGGTGTAGACTCACCAGTCACAAATGACATGTATATTGATATCTAAATCCCTATTAGTTTCTTACACGTCTCTACAGGAATTTTGGACCACTCTTCTTTCGCCAACTGCTCCAGGTCTCTCAGATTGGATGGATTCCTTTTCCCTACTGCTGTATTGAGTTATCTCCACAGGAGCTCTGTGGGATTCAGATATGGACTCATTGCTGGCCAGTCCAGTACTCTCCAGCGCTTTGTGTGAAACCATTTCTGTGTGCTTTTTGACATGTGCTTTGGGTCATTGTCTTGCTGTAAGACCCATGACCTCCAACGGAGACCCAACTTTCTGACACCGAGCCCTGCACTGCACCCCAGAATTCTTTGATAGTCTTCAGATTTCATAATACCATGCACACAGTCAAGACATCCAGTGGCTGAAGCAGCAAAGCAACCCCCAAAACATCAGTGACCCTCCACCATGTGCGACTGTAGGGACTGAATTTTTTTTCTTTATAGGCCTCATTTCTTTTTCTGAAAACAGCAGAATGACGGGCTTTACCCAAAAAGCTGTAATTTTGTTTCGTCAAAAAGCTGTTAATTTTGTGTCATACAATACAAACAAAAGAAGTAAACATGAGAATGCCTAAACATTTGTAATTGCAACAATGTTCTGCATGAAGTGGTGCATTATCTGACAGAAAGTGCCAATATTTTTGGCCGTGATTGTACCTGTATAATATAAACTTGTGCCAAGTGTGAAAAAAATCTTGCACCTCTTTACAGGTTGATTTGTTGAATATACATCAGCCAATGTATTTCAGTCATGACAACAGGTATACATAAACCTGCAAAATGTCAGAATTACATGCACCCGATACGATCTCAAAAACGTATATTTTATTCTGAAGAATTAAAAAGAATGAAAAATGTCTATCACTTAAGAAACTTATAACGATATCTGCATATTGCTCAGTGGCCACACACCTTCTGTTCTTATTACATACGATTTTACTGTGCATATTGGTCTTTTTATTTATACCATGGGGAAAAGACTTAACCCCATAGTTCTCCTTTAAGGAGAATACAATACATTTTTAAACACACAAGGGTTAGGAAAGATCCAACCTTCCCAAAATATCCAAGAAATATAAGAATATAGCGGCTCCACCTGTATCTATAATACCACTGTTGTTACTGACAATTAAAAGTGTAACTCCTCACAACATTTTCCTTTTAGTTTGCAATCTGGTTGGGAAAAGTAGTTCTTCTTTGGCCCTTGTCAAATTACACAGATCAGAAATCTAAGTTAGGCTAAAAATCATTATTTAACCACCTCCGTCCGCCGATCGTTGAAAGACGGCCGGATGGAAGTCTCCTGGAATGCGAGTGGGCGTCTTAAGACGTCCTTCATGCCCGCGCCAGCTCGCGCGCGCCCCCTGGCGCACAAGCGGGAAACCGCCTCGATTTTAAACGACCAACAATGGACGTTTACATACAAGCGGTCCGGCGTCTTTAAAGATGCCCGATCGCTTGTATGATACAAGTGAGGGTGCGCCCCCCCTCCTTACCTCTGGTCACCGTCACTATCCCCGCCGCCGTCCCCGCGATCCCGGGTGTCCATCCGGTCCGGTGCGATGTGGCTCTGTGCACTGAGAACGGAGGGAGATCAGGACCCGATCTCCCTCTGCTCTCATCCTGGTCTCTGAATGCAGGAAGTGATGTATATTACATCACTTCCGCATTCCTCTGTCACTCTCCGGTACAGAAACCGGAGAGAAGCTGATGAAGCATATCTGTGCTTCATCAGCTTCTCTGGGGGTCCCTAGGTGACATTAGGGGTCTTAGAGACCCCTGATGTCTCCATAAAGGGGACCTGTCACTGTAATTTGTTATCACATTGGGTACTTCTTAGCACCCTATGTGATAACAATAAAAGTTAAGTGTAAAAAAAAAAAAAAAGAATTGCTCACAAAATAAATAAAAATGTACACATACAAAACAAAAAAAACCCACAACATTTTTTTAAAGTCCCCCACATAGATGTGCAAAAATGCGTTTGATGCGCCTACATGCAAAAACGACGATTGCTCCAATTATGCCGCACGTGTTACATATCGCCGCGAACGTTGCAATGGGAGCAATAATTTTAGGGCCATCAATCACTGATAACACTAAACTGATGAGCGGTAAAATCTTTTAAAGCGCCGCCTCTGACCAATTTTGGCTATGGTGTTTTTTTGCGATTTCGCGGGCACGCGCAATTTTAAGGCTTGACATGTTTGGTGTCTATTTACCCGACGTGACCCACGTGACCCAGTCTTTTATATTTTAGAAAAAAATTGGGTAAAAATAAAAGGTTTCCTGAAATAAAGGGAAAACCATTTTTTTTTAAATATTCAGTACTTTTTTGTTACATAGTAAAAAATAAAAACCCCAGTGGTGATTAAATACCACCAAAAGAAAGCTCTATCTGTCCCAAAAAAAAATGGTATAAAATTTATGTCAGTACAGCGTTGCATGACGGAATAAAATGTCAGTCAAAGTAACGCAGTGCTGAATACTGAAAAAAGGCCTGGACAGGAAGGGGGTGTAAACACCACGGTCAGCAAGTGGTTAAGGTTAAAGTGATGGAAACTAAAGTATGAATAATTTGTACTATACTATTTTTTTGTACATATTTACAATTTATCCATCCTCTAAAACATCATCAAGCAATTCAAATCATGTTCATGGGTGCAGCATTCTCAATTCTATGTGTGAAAAGAAAAAGGCATCACAATGCTTTAAGTTTGCATGTGTGCATGAGAATGAATCGTTTTTAATTAAGACAACAACATGACAATCTTTGATCCCTTTTACTAAGTCCTGTATGGTCTTTCCAGAGATCGGGCTTCTATGTTATACTTTCCTTTGCACAATGTCTCTCTCTCTTATGAACCTCCCGGCAGGTCAGTTGGGGCAGTTTTATAAAACTCATCTTACATTTTGATACGGCTTCTCTCCTGTGTGAAGCGTTTAAAGCTGGATCATAGTTCATTTACATTTAGCACATTTGTTACATCCATTAGTTTGGCTTCTCCCCAGTGTGTGTAACTTCATGTTGCTGGACTTTTCCTTGTCACATTCTCCACATGAATCCCCTCCTGTGTGAGATCTGTGGTGTCCGGTAAGGTTTCCTCTTTGTAAGAAGCACTTTATAAATTTTGTACTCTTCAATGTTTTCTGTCCTGTGTGAGTCATCTTGTTTGTAGAAAGACAAAAAAAGTGTGTGAGAAACACTTCCCAACATTTAAATAGCTTTTCCCCCTGTGTGAATCTTCTGGTGTTCAGCAAGCGTAAGCTTATAAAAGAAACACATGCCACATTCTGAACATATAAACGGTTTCTTTCCTGTGTGGATCTTCTGGTGCTGAGCAAGATTATACTTTTTTGAGAAGAACTTGTCACATTCTGAACATTTATATGGTTTCTCTCCTGTGTGACTCTTGTGGTGCCGGGCAAGGAGAGAATTTTCTGAGAAGCACTTGTTGCATTCTGAACATTTATATGGTTTCTCTCCTGTGTGACTCTTGTGGTGCCGGGCAAGGAGAGAATTTTCTGAGAAGCACTTGTTGCATTCTGAACATTTATATGGTTTCTCTCCTGTGTGAATCCTCTGGTGACTAGTAAGACTAGAACTTAGTATGAAGCACTTGTCACATTCTGAACATTGAAATGGTTTCTCTCCTGTGTGAGTCTTCTGGTGTTTCGTAAGATGAGAGCTTTTTGAGAAGCACTTTCCACATTCTGAACATTCAAATGGCTTTTCTCCTGTGTGAGTCTTCTGGTGATCAGCCAGTGTAAACTTAAGAGAGAAGCCTTTGCCACATTCTGAACATTTAAATGGTTTCTCTCCTGTGTGAATCCTACGGTGATTAGCAAGACGAGAACATAGCGAGAAACACTTGTCACATTCTGAACATTTAAACGGCTTTTCTCCTGTGTGAGTCTTCTGGTGTACAACAAGTGAAAACTTGGAAGAGTAGCACTTGTCACATTCTGAACATTTAAATGGTTTTTCTCCAGTGTGAGTCTTCTGGTGTCCAGTGAGAAAAGACTTTTGAGAGAAGCACTTGTCACACTCTGGACATTTAAATGGTTTCTCTCCTGTGTGAATCCTCTGGTGCTTAGTGAGACTAGAACTTACGGAGAAGTTCTTGTCACATTCTGAACATTTAAATGGTTTCACTCCTGTGTGGATCCTCAGGTGTTGTTCAAGATGAACATTTTGTGAGAAGCATTTGTCACATTCTGGACATGTAAATGGTTTCAAACCTGTATGAATCCTCTGGTGTTTAGAAAGAGTACAACTTTGTGAGAAGCACTTGCCACATTCTGAACATCTAAATGCTTTCTCTCCGGTGTGAATCTTCTTGTGTTGAGTAAGGCCAGAATTTTGTGAGAAGCACTTGTGACATTCTAAGCATTTAAATAGCTTCTCCCCGGTGTGAATACTCATGTGAATATGGAGTTGTGACTTATAGGCAAAACTCTTCTGGCACACGAAACATTGGTGTAGCTTCTCTCTACCTTTGTTCATTTTGTGTCTCTGTTTAGCTGTGAATTGTTTCCACAGTAGATGTTGAATGGCTAATTCAGGTCATTAATTACCTATATGAAAAGTAAAAATAAATGTTTACACACAATCTTAATACTAACAACAGACTGAGTTTTGAGACTTTAGAAATGTAACCAATTCCTCACTGCTCACAGCAGATTTACTGTATGTAATAAATATCCATATAATAATTCCAAGAACTTGCGCTAATAGAGAGTGAGGATATTAATTGGATAACTGTAGAACCAAAAAATTATTTATGATTTTTAAAAACTTAAGATCTTTATAAAATGATAAACTATTAAAATATTATTGTTAATAAAAATTATTGAATGTTAATATTGATAAAAATGATGTATAATTTAGTTGTTCTAGAAGGGTATAGGAAGCTGCTGGAATATGGCACTCGGCCACTGATAGGATGTGTTTTAAAAGGCACAGCGCTAACCGTCCTTCATAAGTGGATATATGAGAAATCAAACGTTGGGATCGAGGTTTGAAGCATACAATTGAAGAGTATGTGAAAAATATAACTCGAAAATTCAAAAAAGTGTATCTCAAAAAGTCAATATCATCAATTTAAATACAATGTGAATAAAGGATATTAATCCATTAGTTTTGATCAGAGATGAATAAAAATATGTACAAAATATGAATATTTTTGTTAATAAACCTGTGATAAATTATGAATATATGTGTCAAGTGTGGGTAAATTATATTAATAGATGGTGGATACAACAAACAATGTGTAACTAATTAAATAAATAAACATCTATAAGTGTGTATGTGAGTAGTCCAAATCTTTTAAGGTCTTTAAAGGTCTTTAAAATTCATAGATATAAGGCACTTTCACGGTGCCAATGTTTTGTTAATAAACCTGTGATGAATTATGAATAAATGTGTCAAGTGTGGGTAAATTATATTAATAAATGGTGGATACAACAAACAATGTGTAACTAATTAAATAAATAAACATCTATAAGTGTGTATGTGAGTAGTCCAAATCTTTTAAAGTCTTTAAAAATCCATAAATATAAGGCACTTCCACAGTGAAGATCCAGTGCGTATTCCGATTAAGTGATGTGTCCAACGAAAATCCAAAAAGAACCGAAGAAAAAATGAGGAAAAAATCCCCTCAAGGGAATGCACTCACCAGATCAGAAGATGTTAAGCCCGTTTGTTTCATCAAGTAAAATATATTTGTGTTTGTAAAACTTTGTCAATTTGACTATTACCAGGGAGTGGACATTGTATCTTTATAAGCATAATAAGCATAATCTTTCCTTTTCAGCATGATCTAGTTTTGTTTTTAATTCAAGTGTGTTTTTATTAAGAGTTTTTGAATGTTTCCAACAAACACAGGGACAAGAAAAAACAGCTACTTTAGACAAGCACAACAGAAAATGGTGCTGTGTACATCAACACCATCGCAGAGTATTACAGATACGCATATTTGTACTTCAAACAGTAGCTGTGCATAGTAATAAAAATATATTCCAGTGCCAGGCATGTTGTGGTTTGTTCTTGTAACAATAAACTAAAGGGAAAATATATAATTATGAATGCAAAATAGCATGCATTATGTATAATGCACAGATATACAAATACATGGGGCACAGGAGAACTAGAGAAGAATACTGTCAACAACCAAGACACTCTAAAAAAAAGGGGGTAAGACCAATCAACATTGCATAAGATAATGGAAAGTAACAAGAATAACTGAAGAAAAGAAAACAAACAATAAACAAATAAAACCCCTCAGCAAAAACTACCCTGCCCACCACCCTTAGTGCACCCTACAACACCCGCATCACTGGAGAAGAAAAGCATGGCAGCCATGAAAAATGTATAATAAGGTTAAAGAAAGACAAACAACATACCCATGGGACATTCTAATCAAGTAAGTGTTGTAAAATCAGAATAGGCGGGGCTAAGCCAAGCACAGACAATTATGGGTCCCACAATTTTGAACATTTCAGTGGACAACCCCCTATGATGATACACCAATTTTTCTTCAAGCAATAAATGGTTAACATGACTATACCAATCATCCAAAGTAGGTGGATGGAAGACAACCTCCCGTAGGCTAATACATTTCTCACAGTGAAAAGGAGCTGCTGAATTGGAAAAAAACTAAACAAAAAAAAACCTCAGGAGTATATTGGTCTTCCTAAAGTAGGTTTAAAGTAGTATTACATTCTCAAACATTTTTCAATAATGAATCCAGATCAAAAAAATATACATTGCCCAGCAAAGCATTGCTTTACATTTTTGCCCAAACACTTACAATCATCATGTTTTTGAACAGCTGCTTCAAAGTCTCTCAGCTCAGTTTCCCGGAACTTCCTGTCTAGTACAAGTTCACAATGACAGTGCAGACTCCAGCAACTGTTCATCTACCTGAAGCATTTGCACTTCCTGCTCTTGGGGGTTGCCATCAGGTTAAGATCCAGATATCCCCACTTGCTGATGATCCACTGAAACACTTGCTGGATAAGAAACCATTAATTGTTGTCCAGGGCTACGTGGCTTACAGCATCTACCTGGAAATTCTGGGGAGTTGAAACATAGGATGCGCACCAATTTTCTCTGCACTGAATTTATGATTGTATGTACCTCCATCAGCAGCGAGCATCTCCTTCCTCTCCTTTGACATTGAATCTATTAAAAAATAGATTCTGTTGTCCATTTGAATCATTACCAAAGCTCCCTGGATCTGTTATGAAAACACTTTCAGGACCTGAAAGGCTCTCTGAGCTCTCAGACACAGGACACTTCTTTCTCCAATGGTCTGTCACTGACCTTGAACTAAGAGGTTGTTAAGGTGATTACCAAAACTGAGCACAGAAGAATCCATTGTTAACAATATCAATGGATAGGGACACAGTTGCGGAAAGTTGAAAAAGGCTCACCAACCTTAGCCACAACAAAAGAGATGTTCTCATATTTGGGGTCACCCTGATCCTGTGGCACAGGGAATGTCTTCTCTGTTATCTTAAGAATCCTGTTGAAAGACATTCAGCCTCCAATAAACCTATTTCACCATTGGAATTGTTTCTGTCAGCTTGAGACAATGGGACCCCAATGAGTAGGACAGAGACTTGACCTGCTTCTAACGAGACGTTAAGACCACTATTTTCTTGGAAGTTCTGCAGAGTTTCTCTGAAAAAGTCATCTTTTGTGTTGGAATGACTTGGCTTTTTTTTCTCCTATTGGTGGCGCATTACAATTGTATCAGAGCCTGAACTAAGATGTTCCAGTGGACTGCCAGAGTGTGGGCATGCCAAACTATCAGCAGCATGTTGATAGAATACTTGAAAGCCTTGCTCACGGAAGATGGCAATGACTGGGACTAATATTTGGGGAATGTCCAAGGAATGTGGAGAGCCAAAATGGCAGGCAAAGAAATCTGAAAGCGGAGCTCTAGAATGACAAGCTGGATGTTTGTGGAAGTGTGGGTGTATGGGAATGTGCATCTGCTAGATAAAAATTCCCCATTGCCTTGTTTGATGACTTTAGTGATTGACCACAGCGATTCCATATGCATTATCTGGATCCTGATCCTTATGTGTATAGCTTTCAGATCCAAGACTGGTCTTAAGTCTCTTTTTTTTTCCCACTAAGAAAAATAGAACCTTAAAATCTTAATGGATCGGAAAGATTACGTGACAACATTTGGATATATGTGCATAGGAACCCTGGTGAGAAAGAAATTGAAAGATGATAAGAAAATCCCAACAATGTCCGTTTTGAACTTTTAATAGGATCCATGAATCCTGAACAAGATTTGCCAAAACTTGCGCAAACTCACTCAACCTGGCACCTGCTGGGCAAGTTTGGACAGAGGAACCCTCAAAGTGCTTTTGTGTTTTCTGTACAGAGTAACCTTGATTTTGGTCAGATAAAGAAAGGATGATTGTGAACTCCTCCATCCCTTCTGTAGTCTTTTACATCTCTAAATATTTCCTTGCCTCCTGCCCATTTGTTGGTGATGGCAATGGGTCTTCTGTTATAAAGAATGAATCCTGCTTGCCCTTGTGACTTTAGATATTGTTGTGTGTAGCTTGTTGCTTAACCTGGAGAAACCAATAAAAGGAGTTTTGCACTAAACTCTGCAGTCCATGGCTTAAGCCACATAGTTCTACTGGCCGTTACTGATTATACTATGGACCTAGATGAGCAACACAACATATCTATAGCAGCATCACCAATAAAGTCATTGGCTGATGTCTTTTCAGTCAGATATTACAGAACTACTGAGACCTCTTTGTCAGCCAAAAGTTTTGCTTCCGTGTTCTCTGCCCAAACATGGATTGCCTAGACTAATGAGGTAAAAGCCCTTAATGTCCCACAGGTGCTTCAGAGAAGGTTTAAACTTCCATTGAATCCATATAGGGTGCCCTTATGGGATTCTGTATCATCCGTATGTAATGTCACATGCCTAACCAATCAGGTGACTATTGCATTGATCATAGAAGTTAAGCTCAAACAACGAACCTCATCTTTGAATGGGTAGGTACTCCACCCAACATATGGCCTCCTTAACTGCCTGACTAGGGGATTAATAAAAGGCCCACAGCAAGGGAATCCTTGATGGTAAATTATCACATAAGATGTACACTGGCAAAGACTCTGTAAATCGACTGGGCTAGCCTTTGGGCTACAGAAGGACTTGAGGTGGATGTACTGCTTGACTGGGCTAGTAACTGATAGCTCACAAACAGAGTACTTCACAGTCTGTTTAAAAGGGTTCAGATCTCCGCCCTCTCTGCCTCTGTATCTGCTGTATCTGTATCTAAACTTGGTACAGCATCCTGCTGGACGATCACAAACCGAACACTGCTCAAAAGGTTGGACAGTCCTTGTGACGCCAAGTT